CTCTGTCATTGGTGAGCATTCTGAGATGCTACCCATCTTGAAAGGCACTACATAAATGCAAGTTGTTGTATCTGGCAGATGACAGCAACCACTGCTGGGGCTGCAATTAACACGAGCCAAAAGCAGCGTGTTAACTTCTACCTGCTAATTCCTCAGAGAATAATTATAGTAACAAACAATAGCTAGATTGGAATGAGTTACAAACTACATGACTGAGGAATTCAGATAATGTTATAAATTATAAAAGCAAAGCACAAGTGATTTACAAAGTCACAAAAGAGGATGCAAGTATCTAGTCACCGATTTGCATATGTTTGATATTTAATAATCTTTTTATGATTAAAACCCTAAAATACATGTCAATATAATCTAAGTAACTGAAACCTAAAAGGTTGAAATCGTCAATTGGTAGAATCCATATTATGATATCTCTGAGAGAAAATTACAAGTATTATTATACATAAATGTCAGTTTCCCAATCATGTGACTGAAAAAATATTACTTTCAATTTTAAAAGTTACCTACTTCATTGAGAGTTTTATAATAATTGTGTTACAACTTGAGTAATGGATTGTGGAAGTCTCAAGTCGGTTTCTATTCAAAAACAATTTCTACAATCTTTTTTTTTAAAAAGTGCTGCACACCACAAATGGAATTTCAGACATTTTAATAGCTGGTTCAATAACTTGAAATGGATATATAACAAGCGGAATAGATGATGAGCAATTGTAGTGAAACAACTGTTTAAGGATATCGGCATTGGCAAGGCCAGGCAAAGGATAAAGAGAGTGCAAATGAGGATTTCATGCGCCAGAACATGTGCGAAAAACAGCTCAATGCATTCAACTGTAATAACATGAAGAGCAAACAGGAAATAAAAGCAACATTAAGGAAATAATGGGGATACAAAGCAAAATTATGAAGAAACAGCACAAAGGTAATTCACTAAATAATACTGGTGGGTATGGGAAAAGAGTAGGGAAATGGTATCTGGGTCAATCGAATGGGGTTCAGAGTTAGACCAGCACCAGCACAACCATGATCACTTCTATGCTGCAAACATTCAATGATTTTATGAACTGTGAACAAAGTTCAAGCAGACAGCAAATAAATAAATATCCCTTAAAGATTACAAAGACTTAAAATATTACTTAATGATTATTTAGACAGTAAAGATTTACTCCAATATTAATATACATGAAATAGTAAGGAGGAACAGAAGGGTAAGGGAGAAGTTTGGATTAGGATGGATGGAGACTTATGAAGTATAAACACTGGCATGGAATCAGGCTGAACGGCCTGTTTTGTTGTAGATTTAATGAAGAAAGGAAGGACAAATTGGATTTGTTTTTATTTGCATCTCCATGAATTACCACCCTTCACAAGTCAACAGAGCGGACAAGCAAGCAAACACTCCCAGCTCTTTATAGTTAGTTTCTGATATGTTCAAGAATGGCTGCAGCTGATATCATAGAATCATAGAATTATACAGCACAGAAGGAGGCCATTCGGCCCATTGTCTCTGTGCCGGCTCTTTGATCACTAAATTTCCCTCTCTCAGAGCACTAACCTCTGCTCATTATCTACCTAGATGCATGGCAGAGATCAGAAGTTCCCATGTGGTTCCATTAATTTTATTAATCTGACAAGCTCAAATATATTGCAACTAATATTAACACATTCATTAAAACCAATATTCTCAATTTTATCATTTAATCTGCATTTTTAAAAGGCACATATTGTAAATATTTTAAAACTAAAGCTAATTACATTTGTAATCCTTTTGGATTAAGTGTTGTCTTCCCTTGTGTGATTATAAACTAAATTGAGTGAATAATCATCAGTGAAGGGAAATATTAATTTTAACATAGAGCTGAGATCTTTGAAATATGGACACAAAGAAAGAGAAAAGCCATATCTGTCAAACAAACAAAGAAAACATAAAATAAATGTAAATATCTACAGTGAATGCATCAGAAAGAGTAAATTAATGAGAAAAGTTCCATAAGGGTTGTACTTTGCAAACATGGAAAGACATTAGTTTGCAAACAAATTATCCTTGTGAACAGGCTAGAAAATAAATCCTACTTTATTAACCATTAGGGTATCATAAATCCAGAATATTATGTTATTTCATGGACTGGCATTTTTGTTAAATGATGATTCATATGTATGATTGTTATAATACAGATATCATTACTGGAGATGTCAGGAATGACTGAACTGAACAGACCGCAGATTGTATAAAATAACAAATATGTGGCATGGACTCCAGTGGTGGGCAGGAGGGGTAGGGGAGAGAGAGAAGAAGGAAGGGAAGAATTCTAATCACTTCAGAAAATGGATCAGAACCAACTGCTTAGTAGAAAACTGAAGCTGTAGATTTAAAGCTATTTTAATTTTTATTTTTACAAAAAGCTAATAAAAAGCTTTCAGAGTACTAGTGGGAGAAAGTGTTTTCCATTTATAAGACTTTATTCGATGAGCCATCAAACAAATAACAGCTAAATGGAATGTATGCGATGAAGCAAATTAATATTCTAGAGTAAGTCATTGGTCATAGGTGAGTAGTAAAATGCCTCTCTCATATCATATAGATTTGATTTTAAAAGCCATGATACTCCCCATCTTTGTTCCAATGTACAACAGCTGCTAGAACAAGTGAAGTATTCAATAGGAAATGTCAGTGAGGAGGAGGAAACTAAGATATGAAGCCCTAACAAATATTAAAAGACATCAGCTCAATAATCAGTGAGGGGGGGGAACGAGGGTGATCGAAGGCACAGTCGAAGAGGAAGGTCTTGAGGTGGATTTTGAAGGAGGCAATGGAGGGAGCAAGGCGGAGGGACTGCGAGATGGAGTTCTAGAGGGTGGGGCAGAGTAACTGAAGGCTGGCCAGCCAATGGTGGGGCGGGCGAGACAGGGGACGTGAAACAGGCCCGAACCCATTGAGCGGAGGGAACGGGTAGGTCGGTAGGGGGTTAGGAGATCGCAGAGGAGGGCGGTGTAAGGCCATGGAGGGCTTTGAAGGTGAGGAACAGAATCTTGAACTGTATCCTCTGTGTGATGGAAAGTCAGTGGTGTCAGGCGAGGATGGTGGTGATAGGGTCACAGAACCTAGTGTGGGAAAGGACACGGGCTGCAGAGATCTGGGTGATCCGCAGCCTATGGAGGGAGGAGTGAAGGAGGTCGACAAGCAGGGAGTTTGCATAGTTGGATGTTATGAATGCGTGTATGAGGGTTTCGGCGGCCTGCGGTGTGAGACACTAACGGAGCTGGGGGAAAGCAGAGCGCGTCATGGCACAGATGTGGGGTACAAAGGATAGTTGAGGGTCAAACAATATGCTAAGGTTCCAGATTGGCTCAGTAAGGTGGAATGTGCATCCTTGGATGGTGATGTTGTCAGTGCCTGAGGTGTGGAGACACTGACGGGAGCCAATTAGGAGAACCTCGGTCTTGTTGACGTTCAACTGAAGAAAGTTAGCTCTCATTCAGGAGTTGATGTCTGACAGACAATCGGTCAGAAAAGCAGTGGTCCTCGAGTCAAGAGTGGAGGCAAAGAGATATGGAGTTGATGCGGATGATGTCACCAAGAGGAAGCATATAGATATTGAAGAGGAGGAGACAGAGCCCTGAGGAACGCCGAACAAGACGGTGTGGGGGCTAGAGGAGGAACCGTTTGTGGCGATGAAGTGGAGACGGTGTGAAATATAGGATCTGATCCATTCAAGGTCAACGGTATCAAAGACAGCAGAGAGGTCAAGGAGGACAAGGAGGCAGAGGGAGCCCTGGTCACAGATGGACAAAATGTCACTTTGATCAAAGCTGTTTCTGTGCTGTGGGCGGCACGGAAACCCGATTGGAGAGATTCGTGAAGGGAGTGACGGGAGAGGAAGGAGTGAAGCTGGGAAGCAACGACTCGTTCCAGGACCATGGAAGAGAAAGGGAGGTTGGAGATGGGGTGCTAATTTGAGAGCAGTCAAGGGAGGGTTTTTTTAAGAATAGGAGTGATGACGGCCATTTTTAAAGGGGTGGGAATGGTGCCAGTGGACAGGGAGAGGTTTATGATGTCTGTAAGTAGAGGGTCAAGGAGGTAGAGCTCGGAGGTAAGGAGAGGGGTAGGGATGGGGTCAAGGGAGCAGGTGGTCGGTTTCATGTGGGTTATATTGGTGATGAGAGAGGATGGGGAGACAAATTCGAAGGTGTGGAGGGAGGGATGGGTAGAGACCGGGCTGTGAGAGGGAGATGTGGAGGGGGTAGTAGATGGAAGGGCAGAGGCACTTGAGAGGATCCCGTCGACTTTGGTTTTGAGGAAGTCCAGCATCACCTCACAGTGATCACCTTTGGCATTTGAGGTGAGGATGGGCGAGGCATGAGAGGGTGGGCGGAGGAGCCGGTTGGTGATGGAGAAGAGTAGCCTGGGGTTGTCCTTGGCCTCCAAGATTGTCTTGGAGCAGAAGGACGATTTAGCACAGGCGAAGGCTGAGCGGTAAGTTTTGATAAGGTGCAGCCAGATCTGCTGATGGACCATTAAATTAGATTTGAGCCAGTGTGGTCAGCGGCACGCATCTGTGCTTTACACACAAATATGAACTTAAATATTAACTTCATTTGCACTCATTTGCATATTTGGCATAATAGGTAATCTCTGGCATAGTAAGTATTCCAAGTATAAATTGTTAACTGTCAGAGCACGGCACTTGACAAACAAGGACTGTCCAACTCACATTTTGGCCCAGAGTTGAAGATATGTCCATACACAGATAAGGTTGGCAACAATAATAGCTTGAATTACTCAGAACCTGCCAAGTTTTTTCTTCGCTGAGCCAGTTCAACCTTAGGGAAACACGGGTTCTCCCTGCAGTCAATGGAAAACTCACAGCATAAATGAGATATTAACAAACTTTGATGAGATAGTTACACCAATGCACATTCTGATAAACATTCAAGCACTTTACATTTCTCAACAAAGTTCTTTAAATGGGTATCATAGTACTTACTGTTTGGACTCGGCATACAATGGTAAGTATCTGTATCCTCCAACTCCAAAGGGATCAGACCATGGTTAGGGTGGTGACGTCTTCCAATAGCTGACCCAGTAAATGGTGTTCCGCCATTCTCTTCTATACTGAACTGCTGCAGGTCACTGCTGTTTAACAATGGTGCTACCAAAGGATGGCTGCAATTTTAGGTACAATAAAGTAAAATAAACTCACAAGAATGAAACCAAACTTGTTAGTTAACATATTCCTAAAAAAGGAAGAGGATGGGGGGAGGGAAAGGTTGTGATTATAAAATAATATTAAACCGCAGCTTGAGTTACAAATCTAGGACCAAGGCTTTTTGTTCAACTCAAGACCATTTTACCTCTATTTGCTGCTGTACAATGTTTACACTAGCACAAACATTCATAAAATAACAATAAGCCCAAGTTGTGTGGAACCCAGTGCTGAGTCAGATCAAAACCTTTTGCTGCTTATCTGCAACATCACTGGAGAAATATTTGTGGGAAAAAACAAGTGGATACAACTCACAATGATGTGAAATGGAAGAAGAGTGCCTTAGTACTACTCCTTGATTTGGTCTAAGTAAATTCTAAAATTCCAAGCAAAATCTTATTGTAGTACATAGATATGTATTTCATAATGCAGATTATTGCACTTATGCATTGGAATTCACCTTCTTGCGTTATTCAACAGGTGATGAATGATGTTCTCTTGGGCATGCTGATTCACACATACATGTTAATAAAAGAATATTCGGAAAAATATTTCATCATAGAACAACAAAATTACATTTGTAAAGCGCCTTTCATGTTGGGAGGTCATCCCAAGGGGCTGATCACAGATCAGGACCCGAGCTTGGGGGGCAGGGTTGGGATGAGGGAGGGCAGAGGGGGTAAGGAGGGCAGCTGAAGGCACGGTCCCAAAGGAGGATCTTGAGTCGTGCCTTGAAGGAGGCAAGAGGGGGAGCAAGGTGAAGGGATTGTGGGATGGAATTCCAAAGAGAGGGGGCAGGGAGGCTGAAAGCCTGGCCGCTGATGGTAGGGTGGGTCGGGCGGTGATTTGGAGCAGGCCAGAGCCTGCTGAGTGGAGGGAGTGGACAGGTTGATAGGTGGTTATCAGGCCAGAGATGTAGGAGGGGGTAAGGCCATGGAGGGTCTTGAAAGTGAGGACGAGAATATTGAATTCTATCCTCTGAGGGATGGGGAGCCAGTGGAGTTGGGCAAGGATGGGGGTGATAATGTCATGGAGCCTGGTGCGGGCAAGGACATGAGCTGCAGAGTTCTGGATGATCTGCAGCTTGTGGAGGGAAGAGTTGGGGAAGCCAACAAGGAGTTTCTGTAGTTGAGGCTTGAGGTGATGAATGCGTGTATGAGGGTTTTGGCAGCCTGAGGGGTGAGGCCCTGGCAGAGTTGGGCAATGTTGCGGAGGTGGGGGAAGGTAGGGCGTGTCATGGCACGGATATGTGGGAGAAAGGACAGTTGAGGGTTGAACATCCGCGTACATGTGGAACTTGACCCCATGTCTGCAGATGATGTCGCCAAGGGGGAGCATTAAGAGGAGGGGACCGAGGTCAGAGATAATGTATGAAACAATTATTATAAAATATAATTGATAGGAAACCAAGTGACTATTGTAATATAACATGGCAGCTAATGTGTAGTCATAATGTCCTGTAAACATGAGTACTCCATAAAAATGACCCAATTAATTTGAATTTGGGGTAAATGCAAGCAATTTCATTGGAGAATACGAATGACAGGTGGTCCCTTTATATCCACCTGAATCACAAAGCATATGGGATTTATAACTAAAGGGGATGATGATCTAGAATATATAATTGCAAGTTGCTATTGCAGTCATACTTTTATTCTCTGAATCTTTGCCTACATTACACAAGACACTAGACGTTACAGTAAATCCTGTGAAGTGCTTTCTGACATGAAATGCTAGGATAATTATCCCTTAATACTCTGGCTTACCACTATCTATCTACATTTCAGCACCTCAACCAATTCTGTATTTATGACCTACCATTACATATTCTCACAATGAAGAAATGTTTTCTGTCTTCACTTTTAACCATTTTAGCTCCAAATTTAACTTTATAATAATTCCCTATTACTGTACATTTCTGCTTTTATTCATGAAATGACTAAATACTTCCACCATCTCCATAAAATACAGATTATCCCAAGCTCTGCAGCTCGTATCCTCTCCCGCACCTGGCTCCATGACCCCATCACACCCACCCTCGCCTGGCTCCACTGGTTCCCCATCCCTCAGAGGTTCGAGTTCAAAATCCTCGTCCTCACCCTCAAGGCCCTCAACGGCCTTGCCCCCTCCTACTTGCTAATCCCTTATCAACCTGTCCGCTCAGCAGGCTCCGTCCAGCCTGCTCCATGGCCCCCGCCCAGCCCGTCCCACCATTGGCATTCGGGCCTTCAGCCTCACTGCCCCCAACCTCTGAAACTCCATCCCACATTCCCTTCGTCTTGCTCCCTCTCTTGCCTCCTTCAAGGCACACCTCAAGACCCTCTCTTCGACCGAGCCTTCGGCCACCTCCTACCCTCTCTGCCTCCCCCCCTCCCCGCTTGGGTCCTAGTCCGACGTCCTCCCAATGTGAAAGGTGCTTTACAAATGCAATTTTGTATTTTATTGGAATTCAGTGACACAGGAGATGGTTCAATCTGTATGAAAGAGATAAAGTCTGTTATGAATAAAGGAAGATATTTTGCTCACAGAATTGATGCTCACAGACAGAATTCAAGCGCTCTGAGACACCGTCCGGCGTGGAGGGCGCTATATAAATCCAAGTTGTTGTTGTTGTATTTAACCCCATTCAAGACTGAGATTGATAGATTTCTTGTGGATAAAGGGATATGGGGATAAAGCGGGTAGGTGGGGTTAGAATAGATCAGCCATGATCTTATTGAATGGCGGGGCAGGCTCGAGGGGCCAAATGGCCTACTCCTGCTCCTAATTCTTATGATTACATCTTTCCCATGCCTGAACAGAATGTTAGGAAACTGAGCAGTCTGTACAGGATTTATACTGAACATGGTCATGGGTGGTTCATTTGGTAGGAGGCATTACATCACCTTTAATGCACTGACGTTTGATTTCAAACTGAAATCCACAGGAACTTTTCATCAGGTGTTAATATGAGGTTGACATGACTCTAATTTGCAGTATTAGACAACTCAGAGATAAGGTGGGTATTTTTACACTGAAATCCAACAGAGTAAATAACTCCCTACTATTTATGCTTGCTTGCTGACTGTACTTGTGATGCAAGTTATTGTGCCATGAGAGATGAATATTTGCAGCAAAGGTACTACGGCCATAAAAAATGTAAATATAATCTTGTCCACCTGTGCTGCTCCTTTGAGTCCTGTGAATCCGATTTACCAGACCCTTTGTTCCTTGTCCTCTCTTAGGTTCATGACTTTTTAACTTAATTTTTCAGTATCTTCTATGAATATACTCTGTAGGTTGTGAAGATGCAATAGATTTACAGCTTCAGTATTTATAGTTCCAAACTCGGTTGCTTTCTTCCACCATATCTGGGTTCTTCAAAATTAACTGTTCATGTTTGCATGGACGAGTTGGGCAGATTGGCTTATTTCCATACTGTAACTAAGTAATTTTTTTCATCACTTATTATACTATTCTGTTAAACATTTCTCTATCCTACAGAGCTATACATCACCAATCTTATGTTGTTTTTTCATGGTAAACATTTTTTTTATTACTTATTTCTCCTTCACATTTCCAACATTTGTTCAATATTATATTTGAAAAATTACACTACAGGTTTACAAAATGATCTGTCTGCCTATTAATGTGGATTTTAAAGACTGCGTGACACTATTCACAAAGGGAAAAGGAGTTTCTCTCAGGGTCCTGGCCAACAGTGCATCTGCCTGGCTTAGTTGGTAGCTGTCTTGTCTCCGAGTGAGGGGTTCTGGGTCCAAGCCTCACATCGGGACTTTGAACTCAACCGTCTAGAATAAGCGCTCTGAGACACTACCCTGCGTTGAGGGCGATATATAAGTGCAAGTTGTTGTTGTAGAACAACACTTCACTGTAGTGCTGGTGGTGTGCTACATTGTTAGATGAGATATTAAACTAGGATCCCATTGTTCAATGGACGTTAAAAATCCAATGGCACTATTCAGAAAAAAAAGGGACGTTTAACCCAGTTAAACCTTAGCCAACAACCCGTTGGATAAAATTAGTCATTCACTTCATGGCTGGTTGTGGGACATTGCTGTATGCTGATTGACTGCTGTGTCTACCTACAAAATGCAGTCACTACACTTGATAATAATACTTGCACGTGATACATACCTGAAAACCTTGCAGAGGAAAAAAAGCAGTAGATGTTCAGAAAAAAACCTGCAGATTTGTTTAAAAAACAGGAGATTTTAGCAGCATTAATATTAACCCAGTTAAGTGCCTCTCAAAAAAAACTTATCAGAAGTAAAAAGCAGATTTTCTGTAGCATTTCTTCCAAGCGATTTTTTGTTACTTAAAAACTTAATAACTAAAAAACATGTTATAGAATTCTTTACTGAAATGTACCCCCAAACCACTATATTTATATATATATAACTATAAAAATATAAAAACGTTATATATATATAACTATAACATAAAAATATCAAACAAATAACATGTTTAATTTAATGTGCTCATTCTTCTTTCAATTTTAAATTATTCCGTACGCTAAAAATCCACTCTGCATTTTCAAACTCCACAAGCCCACATGACGCCCACAGCTCAACAAGGATTGGTTTAGCCGTGGTTATCAGAAGAGCTGTATTTTAAAAACTAGCGCGATATCTGCTTCCCTTAGACTGTTGAGCTTAGATTGTGACCTACTAACTCTATAACTTCCCCCGCCCAGCCCACTGCACCAACGACTGTCGGGCCATTAGCCTCTGTCCCCCACCCTTTGGAACTCCATCCCACAGTCCCTTCACCTCGCTACCTCTCTTGCCTCCTTCAAGGCACGTCTCAAGACCCTCTTCTTCAACTGCACCACCTTCCTACCCTTACCCTCTCTAAATTTGTAAACCCATAGATGTAAAAACCCTTAGTCGACAGGGAAAGCCCGTAGAGTTGGCAGGTATGTGATTCAAGAAGACTCGCAGCAGGACTTTGAACTCCAGGATAAAATGTCAGTGCAGTGCCCAAGGTGTGCTACATTGTTAGATGAGATATTAAACTATTATGTTGTCAAAATGTCTCAAAGCACTTTACAGGATATATTGTAAAGTGGTTTAAAGTGATATACAGTAAATCCTGTGAAGCAATTTGAGACGTCCTCCTGATACAAGTGCTATATCAAATGTAAGGATTATTATTAAACAATCCCCCAGATAATGAATTGCCCATTCACTTCACGGCCATTTGTGCGACAATGCTGTGCGCAAATGTATTTGCCAATGAATATACAAATACTTTTAAAAAATTCTGTGAAGCACTTTGAGGCACTTGTTTTCAAATCCCTTCATGCTCTCCCTCAATACCTCCACCTTGCCCTTTCCCTTCCCACTTTCAAGTCCTGCCTAAAGACCTTCCTTTTTAATCGTGCTTATGGTCACCTCCCCCTCCCTTTCCCCCAGCTCTTTGTTAAGACTCCGCCACTATCAAACACTCCGGGATGCTATCCTGCATGAAGGGCACTATAACAATGCAAGTTGTTGTTGTTACGGCACAAGGCTCTTTAGTATAATAAAGATCAGAAAGGTGCTAATCTGGATTTTAAATTAACTGATCTCAGCCAGATCAACAGTTTCAGCAGTACAATTGGATCCCTGGAGTTACAGGAGAGAAAAACAGTCAAGGTTTTTGCTATGATTATCATTCAAAGCCCCTGCTAAAAGGTATACATAGTTCTCAAGACCCTCCTCTTCCACTGTGCCTTTGGTTACCCTCCTACCCCTACCCTCGCGGCCCACCAATACTCCTGATCCCAACCACCAGCTCGGGTGCGGATCCCTGACTATCAGCACCTTGGGACATCATCCTGACGTGAAAGGCGCTAATCAATTTGTAATTTGAGAATCCACATCCTTAATTCTTATGAGAATTGTTTGCCAACAGTCGAACCGCCCTCCAGCAATCATACACAAGCAATGGCTCAATGGACTACATACCAGATGTCACTCAGTACCCATGAAACTAAAACTGTACCCAATAGAAGGAAAAAGAATCAAATGCTTTTGGAACATGGGCTGGGATTGGGGGGGGGGGGGGGGGTTGTAGGGGAAAGAGAATTGGTAGAGTAAATTAACAGATTAAATGGTCACGATCCCAACAGTCTGATACAGAAGATAAATGCTCCTCCATTCTTTCCAATAGCTGGAGGTAATTGATGAACAAGAGAGCTTGATGTCCCGTAAAGGAATTGTAATTGCGTCTCTTCTGATCTTTTAAGGATGTGGTTTGATTGAGCTTCCTCCCATCATCCACCCACTCCTCATCAGAGACATCATTAAGTTTCCTGTCATGTTTTTGAAAGTACTGATGGGGATATACTGGGTGACCAAAAAGTTGTAATACCATCACAATGTCTAATAAGTCTCAAAGAAATCGTGATATATATATATATTAGATAATGGAGTAGATATCATGACGTTTTGGTCACCCTGTATATATATTCTGTAGTTAGCAGTCAGGAAGCTCTCCAATGGAGTGGAATGATGTGTGAACTGCATTAGCTTTTATTTTTGAGAGACAACCACGTCTGTTTTCTCATGCCCCAGAGATTTGCAACCAAAACTAGAAAATGTGTTCTCTTTCTGAGTATCTATGCAGTAAATTCTTTGCTGGAGACGGAGGTGGAAGCAGAGTCCTCAAAAGAAAGTAATAATGCCACACTGTTCAACAGAGCCAAGTGAAGCTTATAGGTACGGACACTAAGTTTAAGCTTGATGTATCTATTCCGACTGGAATATCCAGTAGGAATAGATACATTGTCTATCTAAAAAAGATATAATGGCTGGGAAAAAAAACTTAACGGTGAATATAGCATCCCACACTTGGCCTTTAACATAAGACTTTTAATAAAAAGACAATATTCACTAAAGAAGCACCTAGTTAAGTGCTCTGAGATGTTATTCTACACGAAGGGCATAACAGTCAAGCTTGTTTTTAACAACGACTCAGGGGACTGGACCAAAATGGCCTGAGGTACCAGTGGCCTTTCAGTAAGGCTTCCTTGGTTCGTTGACTGGGCCCCAACATTTTTTTGAAATTACTGCGGACCAAAATTTTCTGTGGGCCCGCGTGTAGCCTCCTGCTAGATTCCAAACACATTTGCCAATACCGCCTCACCATTGAGGTGGGAAGCTGTGGGCATCATGTGAGGTGCTCAGTGCGGTGTTGGTAAATGCACTAGGAGTCTAGCGGGAGTATACACATGGGCTCGTGGAAATTGATAATGCATTACTGAACACGTAAATTCAACTGGCCTCTGTCTGTATACCAAACAGGGCTTAAAAATGGGCCATTGATTGCAGTAGACAGCTGGTTGCTGAATAGAGGTGTTCCAGGGGGATTGTTGACCGCAGGTGATCGCTGAATACCACCAGTTAAACCTGTTGCCTTTACAGGTTTGACTTTATATAAATGCAAGTTGTTGTTGTTTGTGTTGCAATTACTTTCACGTAGCCTGAGACAAAAGATGGCCATGCATTTTGAACTGAATAAACAAGTTGATAACAACAACAAATTACATTTATATAGCACCTTTCACGTTGGCAGGACATCCCAAGGTGCCGGGCAATGGGAGGTTTGCATCCCAGCTGTGGGATCAGAGAGGGGAGGAGGTCAAGGGGGGATGGAGGGCCTTGAAGGAGGAAAGGGAGCTGGCAAGGTGGAAGGGCCCCAGGATGGAGTTCCAGGGGGTGTGGGCAGAAAAGCTGAAGGTCCAATTGCCAATAGTGGAGCAGGCAGTGCGGGGGATGTGGAGCAAGCCAGTACCTGCGGAGCACAGAGAGCAGACAGGGTGGTGATGTCAAAGAGGTAGGGTGGAGTAAGACCGTCGATGGCTTTAAAAGTGAGGACAAGGGTCTTGAACTCAAACCTCTGGGAGATGGGAGCCAGTGAAGCCTGGCAAGGATGAGGGTGATTGGCACATGAAGTGGGAGAGGACACGAGCTGCAGCGTTCTGAATTATCTGCAGCTTGTGGAGGGAAAACCTGGGCAGTCTGACAAGGAGGGAGTTCACATAGTCAAGCCTGGACGTAATGAAAGTGTGGATGAATGATATTTGATTGCTGTAGTGTTCAACAACACCTTGCATTTGCCTAGCTTAGCGGGTAGCACTTTTGTCTCTGAGTCAGTTCAAACCTCATATTGGGACTTTGAACTCACAATCTCGGCTGACTAATACAGTGCTGGGGATGTGCTGCAGGGAAGAAAGAATTTCAGA